AGGCTGTTCAGAACCAGGCCGTTCAGAAACAGGCCGTTCAGAGGCAGGCCGTTCAGAGGCAGGCCGTTCAGAGGCAGGCTGTTCAGAGGCAGGCCGTTCAGAAACAGGCTGTTCAGAGGCAGGCTGTTCATAAACAGACTGTTCAGAGGCAGGTTGTTCATAAACAGGCCGTTCAGAGGCAGGCTGTTCAGAAGCAGGCTGTTCAGAGGCAGGCTGTTCATAAACAGGCCGTTCAGAAACAGGCCGTTAAAGGTAAAACTGTACTTTCAGACGTAGCAGGTCAGCCTGGGAGCCGACATCACCCTGAACACACGACAACCTGGTGACTTTGAATGTTTGTAATCAGAAAACACCCAAAACGTGTCGGCACCTGATTTTAGTTCGATGTAAATTTGGTTTAAACAAAATGTCAAGACATTTAGTCACATTTAGGATTTTGAGGCTGCAGCTGTTTGTCTCTGTTCTGTACTGTTGCCATGGCTACGGTTTGGTGTTGACAGTCCAGTGTCCCTGTGGTTTTGCTCAGCAGTAACACTAGAGACGGGTTCTCCTGAGGAAGTCCAGTTCCCATTAGGAACTGTGGGCCACTGCTGCTCATCAGCACAGCAGCTGGGCACTGGGTTTCAGGGGAAGCCAGAACACGAGGGAACGTAGTGAGGCTTCTTTAGCATCTAGAGGAGGATTTAGACGTATGACTGGTGACATTATTCACTTTGACAACAATGAGGAAGACGTGAGGTTACATTATCATGACATCTGCAGGTTACATTAGTTCCTCTTTATATAATATCTGTTCTGCTGCTGCTTGTCTAATGCTCAGTGAACTGTACATGAATTCATTCTAAACAGGGACTAAATCTGGTCCCAAGTCAGTTTCTTCAGGATGCTGGACAACGTTACCCAACATCAACCAGATGAATAACTTTCAGGAGATGGTGTGGAAATCTTAAGATACATGCAGGGTGTTGACGAGGCTGAATTAAAACAGTAACTCCATCAGTGTTTTCACTCAGCGGCCACCGATCACACTCCATTTGTAGCTGTAAACATCTTCCATCTGTTTCCAGATAAGCCAGTGATCCTGGACAGCCCCGTCCTCCCTGTGGCCAAGGGAAACGACGTCACTCTGAGATGTACAGCAGGCTCGTCCTCCAACCTCGCAGCTGAGTTTTATAGATATGACCGCTCAATCGGGACTGGGTCTACAGGTCACATGACCATTCCCAATTTTTCCAAATCTGATGAAGGGGAATACAAATGTAGCATCAGTGGCCACGGAGAGTCTCCGCCCAGCTGGGTGCTGCTGAAAGGTAACGATCAGCAGCTCCACAGTCGTTCACTTCATTTCAGATTCAAACCTCTCACACATCCTGCGAGCCGCTCATCTGTTGTACTCAGTGTGGTGTTGTTTTGGTTCACAGAAGCAACATCAACCTCTGGTGGAGCCATGTATTAGTGTTTTTACTGTTTGTTCACTTTAAGTTTCATATTTACATTAGGAAATCTGTTATTGTGAAGGGTTAGGAACGAGCCTGTAGTATATGCAGCTGTGCACAGATGTGCCTGTTGCATTGCTGGTTGGGAGGCTCAGGGGAAACAGATCTAGTGGACAAGGGGACCTGCACTTGGTGAAAGCCTGCTTCTGTTTCCAGATGATTCAGATCCGGCGTCTCTCACAGCGTCTCCTAACTCGTCTCAGTGGTTTGAGTACGACGATCTGTTTCTGAGCTGTGCTGTCAGCAGCAGCCGACACAAATGGGTCATCAAAAGGTCCACCACCACCAATCTGTCCAGCTGTGGAGAACAGTGGGGGACTCTTACCTCCTCCGGCTGCATCGTCAAAACAGCCAAGCAGGCGGACAGCGGCATTTACTGGTGCGAATCGCCTGCAAGGCAGCGGAGCAACTCTGTCCAGATCACTGTATACGGTGGGAGCAATAAAGAGATCTGATCGGCAGCCTGTTACTCCAATACTAATCCACCCTGACCAAACCGGTTTCATTAAAAACAGCAATGCTTCAGACAACATCCGTAGATTATTTCATTTAATTAATCTTGCAAAACAAACCAAAACCATAATTTTATCACTAGATGCAGAGAAAAGCATTTGACAAAGTTAACTGGACATTTCTCTTTTGTACATTACGTAGATTTTGGTTTTGAGTCGAGTACAAACGGGATCAGGTCACAAAGTTTCATTTTACAGCAGGGAACCAGACAAGGATGCCCACTCTCACCATCTCTATTAGCCATTTTCATCGAACCTCTCTCAGCAGCTATACGACAGAACAGTATAATTAAAGGAATACAAGATACTTACTCAGAACACAATATTATATTTACAGGATCCCTATAACTCTCTACAGGAAACTTTACATATTATTAACACATTCTCTAAGATCTCAAACTACACAATAAACTGGAATAAATCCACCATACTACCACTCTCTGAGGATGCCTGGGATTCTGCAGCTCAAGTCTCCTCCCCCCAATTCTGCACAGGCAACATTAAATATCTAGGTATTAACTGAAATAATGGGAATTAATTATTGGTTTTATTTGGTTTGTGAAATTTGTACTAATAGACTGATTTGATGTGGTTTGTGTTTGTTTGTTGAGGATCTGTTCTGCCCTCATTATAAGGCCTGTAACATCATGTGTCTGACAGTTTTCATAGTGTTCTTGTTTGTTCCTCACTGGTTTTAGCGTCTGCTTCACTATGTGAGTTTGTCTAGTGTGAGAAGTTTGTTTTAAAGCTGATGCTTTTGTGAGAAAACTAGCACTGACACTAAACTTTACTGGTATGAAGAGAAAGGCTTTGTTACACTGTGATGTCTCTGGGTTCAGTTCAAACAAAGCTTAAAGGATAACTACAGCTACAGTATTTAGTGAAATGGATTCAGAAGGACAGTTACATCAGTGCATGGATAGAATTAGAGCAAAATTACGGTAAAAATAACTCAAATAACTCAGTTGCAGACCTTCCTTTTCTACCAAACTCTACTAAGAAAATGAATCACTGTAAGAACATCACAATCCTTTCAAAGTAAAACAAAATCACTAAATCATCACTTGCACCATGTAGATACACTCCAGTTTGGGACAACCCTGATTTCAAACTGCATAATAACCCTATCTATTTCCCAACATGGCAACACAAAGGAATCACTCACTTACATCACCTATTTGAAAATAACCTGTTCATAACATTTAAAACACTGATCCAGAAGTACAGAGTTCAGTCGTGAGAGAGTGTTTGACAAAATCAAAAAACATGTCTGTTAAAACATTCAGCTGCCCTGAAAAGCCATCTGGATTCGATTTTAAGACAGAAACATGCTGTAATTTAGTACTTTTTAACATTATGAAATCAGCTTTTTCCATCATTCATACTAAAAACACCTCTTATAGATGTTATACTGGATGTGTTTCCTACATTTGGCAACACCTTAACTTCACTTCCGTGCCAATGGCCATATAATTTTGGCAGTGCTGGAGGCTTATCAGCAATTTGGCTTGGTTAACAGCAATATGGACAGTTCTAGGTCAGTGGTAACAGGCTACAGGCCTGTCAGATAACACCAGTGTGGCATTTTCATGCAGAGACACATGCACACAAATAAATTATTTTGGACATAGCATGCAATTTAACACCTACATTCATAGACAGACAAACACACTCATGATAATGCTCTTTACATGTAAAAGCATGCATGTGCACAAAACTGAACGTGCACATCACTGAGGTTCTTGTCTCATAATGGTGCTTAGGTTTCTCTCTCTCTCTCTCTCTCTCAGTCACACACACACACACACACACACACAGATAATAGAGTCTAATTTAGGCCCTCGTATCTGTAGAGTTCTCAAGAGGACTAGACCTCATCAGGAATATATTGGTGACCTACATACTAGGAATGCACAGACAGACACACACACACACAGCAGCATTTCTGAGCATGCCTCTGCATCACAGACATCTACAAGACTTACATGAGTCCCTGTGAAGGAGGGAGAAGAGACGACACTGCGCTGTAAAACAAAGAGCCCTCTCTCCAGCCTCACAGCTGCTTTCTATAAAGATGGCTCCCTCATCAGGGCGGAGCCTACAGGTCACATGATCATCCGCCATGTTTCCAAGGCTGATGAAGGCCTCTACACCTGTAACATCAGTGGTCATGGAGCGTCTCCACCCAGCTGGCTCTCTGTCACAGGTCAGGAGGTATGCCTTCAAGAGTTTGAAACACACTTGGTCACTCCACACCTGGACTCGAGTGTTTTCAAGAGTTTGAAACGCACTTGGTCACTCCACACCTGGACTCGAGTCCGAGTCTGGTTCACACAATGCACGATCAGGTTGTCTTGCACAAGAAAAGGACCATGTTGTAACCACCAGATTGAGATCAGGGCATCGTGGGCTCTGACTGAGCACACATGGAGACTGTGAGACGTCCTCTGAATGCAAAGATTTCACTAATTTAAGACGTTACCTTACAGGTGTGTCCGGTCTTCCAGCCAACCACAGCGCAGATGCGGTCCCAGACACACCTGCGTTGACAGTGATGCGTTGCATCGTGGTGGGCTTGCCGTACTTGGTCTCCACCGTTCTCATGATTTCTGTGTATCGACAGAGGCCCAGAGGTAACAGACTCCTTGACTGACCCTACAGTGGCTCTGTGAAACTAATCAGGCAGAAGAATAAACAGGGTTTAAAGATGTTAATCCTAAAAACAGTAGTTCTTACCAGCATAACAACTGAAGGAGGCTTCCACCGTGACACCTGAGCTGGTCTGGACAGGGGTCACTAAAGGCCAACCAGTTAACATGTTTTCCTTTTGATCTGAGGTTTCTGAGGTGTTCTACACTTTAGGAAGGGGTGGGGCCATTTACCACTTTACAAATGATTTGAACTCGGCTCCGTAGCCAACAGGAAGTCTATGGAGTGACGAGGTCCTCTTTTCTAAGCTGCAGTGAAACAGGACAGACACTGATGCATAAAGAAAGTCGGTATTATCACACAGAGGAAACCACCATCTTCACCTTCACTGATTCAGCTGATGAATACTTTATCACTTCACTCTGCAGGAAGGAAACCGCCCATTTCCATGACAACGCTCCCTCCTGGTGAGGATGAGGAGGGATTGGACCCGCATTACGACGACGCCATAGCTGGCGTCACCACCGAGCATCAGTTCTGATTCAGTTTGTCTAATGTCCCTGTTCCTGATGGTTGTCACCTGCCAGGTGTCTCCTGTTGATGCTGATTTAATCCCTCGTCTGGACCTCAGGTTTTTCCTTGTAGTGTAATTTTTTTAAATAAACAATCTGATGTTTTTGTTCTTTTTACTCAAACTTGTCACAGCACGTTTAGTTTTCTGTAGCTTCTGGCTGATTAACTTGTGCCAACATAAGCTGCAGGGCCTCGCAGACGGAGAAACAACATCTTTCTAACTATTTAAAGCCCAGTCGTGTCTTTAAGACTCGTGGTGCCAGTAGAAGCTCTGCACCCTGGTACTGTCATTTATAAACAGTCAATGTATCAGCTACATGGAAGGATTATGGCCGACACCAGTTATTTTCCTTCATCTGGTTCATTTCACACACTAAGCCCCGCTGCTAGAGACCCACAGTGGAGATGCACAAAAGGACATTAAATATATTCAGGCACAAATGATCCAGGAGTCAATATCGTCTCTCCCCCAATACATTACATTACCTTTGAGGGGAGTTTGCATCATCTGCATAAGAAGCTTGTACATTTCTATTATAAAGAGAAGCTGGGAATGATGCAAACGGCAGCAACTTGATTTTAAATATTTAAATTAGACCCATGGATTCCTACCAATGCCAACTTCACCAGAACACTGCTACGAACTGCGTTATATACTGAATGCTGGTTACTTTATTTGCAAACAGAGTAAACGGACTCCTTGTCCTTGGTGTTTACATGATAAACCTGACACGTCACAACTGTTCTGAAAAAGTGACTTCAGCAGCTAACTCTTCATCTTCCTCAGTAACATGTAGCCGGTGACCAAAAGCAGACCAGGTCACCATGACAGACGTCATGTCAGTTATCGCCCACCGGGTGGTGCTGTTGGTGTCTAGGTCTGTGCACATGATCAGTAACTGTATCAGAATATTGTGATCAGTTTCACTTCTGCTGTATCTAAACCTTCTCCACTGGGTTAGGGTGTTACGGTGTTGGGGTTACAAACGGCTTCGTTTTCTGTGAACTGAGCCGACGTTTCACCAAATGTCAGAACTCGCTGTGATTTTCTTGTCAACAGTTTCTAACAGTTGCTGTTCGTGTTCCTCCCTCTGAGGCTCTGAGGAGCAGGAAGCAACAGCCCCCAAACATTAGTGGACGAGAGGAGGGAACACGTGCACAGGTCACCAGTCTATGGCAGTAGTAACAGTAGGCTAATGAACATATTGATGTGTTAAATTAAGACAGACAGTGGTATATGAAGCCTGGCTCATTATATGAATACTTTATTCATAGGCTGACTAAATGTCAGCTTCAGGAGGAAACAGGTGGAGCAGCGGCACTGACTGAACCTGGAGACCAGGTCAGGTCAAAAGTGATGCTTGGTGGTGACGGCAGTCATGACATCATCATAGTCACCATCCAGTCCCTGCTCAGCCTGGCTGGGTGGGGCCATCACCATGGAGACGGGCAGGTAGTTTCCTACAGTCATGGAGAGACGAGTGTCAGTCGGCACCAGGATGGAAGAGACGGACTGTCAGGTCAATGACTTGGTGGCGGGGCTGTAGCTGGAGGTCTCTCTGTAGAGAGAATCCACCTGGTCAGGTGAACATGTAGATGAACTAAGAGCTGAAACCAGAGTGACCTCCTGACCTGTGACAGAGAGCCAGCTGGGTGGAGACGCTCCATGACCACTGATGTTACAGGTGTAGAGGCCTTCATCAGCCTTGGAAACACGGCGGATGGTCATGTGACCTGTAGGCTCCGCCCCGATCAGGGAGCCATCTTTATAGAAAGCAGCTGGGAGGCTGGAGGGAGGGCTCCGTGCTTCACAGCGCACAGTGACATCATGTCCCTCCATCACAGGGAGGACAGGACTCTGCAGGATCACTGCTCCACCTCAACACAGAGACAAACTACAGCCTTTCATCCATTTACACACAGCTTCATCAGCACTGACTCCACAGTCTGATCTTACCAGTGACAGTGATGTTGATGCTGTTACTGGTCGCTCCCTGTGTGGACTGGCACCAGTAAACACCACTGTCCATTGGGTCAATGCCCGTGATGTTACAGGAAGAACCAACTGATCTTCCCCACCCAGGTCCACACTCAGCTCTGGTGTCTCTGGTCGTGTTCCTCCTCAGCGTCCATCCAGCAGAGCTGTCGTCCTCCTCACAGCTCAGAGACACTGAGCCTCCTTCAAACAGCTGAGAGCTGCTGGGACTCACAGTCAGACGAGCTGGAGAGAAGTCAGTGAACATGTGGATGAAACAGGTAAAACTATGTTTTAGTGCTACAGTCAGTGAGTGAACCAGAGAATGAATTGTATTTTGACCAAACTACAGGATCCTGATGAGAAGCTGGTTAAAATAAATCTTTTATTACACTGTGGTGTGTTTTATTTCCCATGAATGTCTCGGCTGTGACTCTCTGAACTGTGCTAACTTTAAATGCTTCATCTCTGTTATAGTGGTTCAGGGAAACCGAGGTGTTTCCATTATTTAGTCCACCCTCCCTGATTAATATAGGGTGGACAAAATAAAACACCCATCAGCATAAGGCAGCACAGGATCTACCTTTAAAAGCTTTGACTCAACATGTTTCTAAAACCGTTTGCCACAACCTGAACAATAAAACCTTCATGGAGGATTTGTCATGTCGGACCTGAGAGCGTGAGGCTGCAGCAGCGTGGTCTGACACACACCGTCACTGACGTCACTCGGTTTGTCAGCCTACCTTTATGTGTCTTTGCCTGAAACAGGGTTCAGGTCACATTTGGACTGCGGTGTAGCGGATGTACCAACCTTGAGTGAGTCTGCAGCAGAGCACTGTGATCAGGCCTGAGGGGAAACGTGAGGTTACACATGCAACCAGAGAAGAAGAGTTCACTTCAGAGAGCAGGGGCACGAAATACTCTCAGTACCTCGAGATTTAAACAGGATAGACCCACAAACAGCCGCACACGAAGACTGGTCAGAATTAAAACAGGTTGTTTTAGCTGAGAGAGATGAAACCTGGAGCAGTGGACGAGATGTTTGTGACATCAGTGATAGATGCATTTGAACATCAACAAGTTGAACCACAGAAAAACCGCTAAACCACTGTATTAATAAGAGGATATTAAAGATCTGTCTTACAGAGCGGCCACTGGAGACGTGTTGGCTTCATCCTGCTGTTCACACAAGTGACAGCAGCAGAGTTAAACCTCCTTCCTGTTTGAACTGTGGGGGTTGATCTGCAGCGGTTGGCAGGACCGTCGCTGCAGGCTACTATAAAACACCAGCAGGAAGTAGCCAGACGCAGACGCACAGGAAGTGCAGTGAAAGGTTGGCTTTAATACGCCAGCCAATAGGCTCACTGGGAGCCCAGTCCAACAACCACTGGGCCTCCAGCCTGACAGAACCAGGCAGGACAAACCGTCTGTAAGATGCAGTGAAGTCCACAGTGAGACACCTGTACCACCTGGCCAGGTGGATGGGGACACCAGCTGGTATCTGCAGTGGACTGGGGAAGTGACTGGGCAGTGGGAAGCAGGTGGGCGAGGCAGTCGGGTGACTGGTGGCACTGGTGCAGAGGCCTGCTGCCTGGACCCGACCTGCTACAGGACATGACCACATCAGTCCACGTTGCACTGACGGTGCCTTGATCCAAACAGCTCATCGACCCCCATGTGTCCGTGCTGACTGACGTGAACAGATGAGCTAAACTCTCTCCACCTAAAGGAAACTGCTACAGTAGCAACATTGGGCTGGAAACAACCCATAATGCAATGCTCCCTGTAGGAACCAGTATCACAGCAGGCCTGTCTGCTTTATATGGGATGTTCGATACGACCCCACGAGTGTGATGACAGCGTGACACGATGCACAACACAGTAATACCAGCAAAGGTGCACGAACATACACATGTACATATGTTGATGTCGAAGCTGTAGCGTGACAGGCTGAAGCAGCTGGTTCACAGCTGAAAGGTTCTTGGCTACGAAAAACTGATGCTAGGATCAAGACTTGACACAGGCAGCAAACCAGGTGTGTAGTGAAAGGACCTCATGATGTTTGACAGCAAATCAGGGGTTAAAGGAAA